GCGGCGACGTATGACGTCATACTAGTTTCCTTGTTTTCTGTTGAAGAGTTCTATCCACTAGTTCGGCTTAGGTAGCAATTTACACCAGAATAGGGGTTTGTTTTGGAATGCTTACCTTTCTGGATGCTTGACCCGGTCGATGGCAGACATAGAATGCTTCCAACCACACGGGGGTTTCTATAGGCCATTGCTCCCCTTGCCTCTCTGAGGGGGCCAGGTTCTGGCTCGTGGTCCCCGGTAGGCCCTAGAACTCCATACACATGACTGATGCCAAAGTCTGACATTAGCATATCAGCCGGTAAAGCTCCGGGGAGCCGACGGGGCTCCCCCCAGAAAATTATATATAATATATACTATATTATATATATTTTGTTGAGTTTCAATATGTAGGGAATCATACACATGGGTCATGAACCTGAGAGAGAATAGGGGACAGGAGCCATGATATACACCTATAACCCTTAGGGAATAGGAGCTACAATATATTTTGAGCCATGACTATGGGAGACGAGAGGACAGGAATTATTTATGACCCAGGGAAAGGAAAACGGGAACATTATACCAAAGCAGAGATCCTGGGAATAAGAACTGGGAAAGTAGGGCCACAATTTTCCAAAAGTAACTCTGGAGAAAATGTGGTGTAATCTAATAGGGTTGGGAGAGGCAGGGGGAAGGAGAGGAGGGAGTTGAAAGGGTTGAGTCCATGGTAGTCACATTTGTCATCACACACCTCTTTACTGGCCACGCCACAATGCCCACCGATATTATGCTATACAACCTTCAATCACCAAACTCGTATCCATCACATTCCTTTTCTTCAACTATCGCATCATATGAAGAATGCCGCTTGTGTGAAAGATCTGCCACCAGTCTTAATATAATGAGCGACAATTTCACAAAGGGGTCTCTGTGGTCTGTGAAGAACCTTGTCTATTTCTATCATGTGCCCTCATCACATGAAGGACCTCTCCTGGCCCTACCAATAGCCATCACATGCACATGATGGAGGGTGTGACCAACATCACTGTGCTGATCATTATTATCCTGTTAGTGTAACAGAGTGGGCCAGATGCATGGATCATGACTCGTTGCTAAGCTCCTGAGGAGTCGCCTAACACCACCACCAAAATGTACATTGATGCCATTCCTAGCAATATGTAAACTCCCACTTTTCCTCTCATTTACTGTAATTTATACTGATGATCTAAAGCCTTGGGCTACTAGTCAGTCAGTCCACAATAAACATTATTTAAAAACTTTGTAAAAATATTTAAAGTATTGTAATGAGAACTGTTTTAGCAGAATGGTGACAAAGTTGTAGTCTCTTACAAAAGTATAACAGTCTTCCTTGCCTCATATGGTACACAAACCTTGTTTAAAAGCAAAACCTTTCTTAGAATAATCCTGTCATGTAAATTGCCTTTTTTGTGAATGAAAATTAATACCTGTACAGCAAGATATTTCTGGAATAGTTTTTCTTTTAAATTTAGCTGATCATAAGACACTTTAAAATAATAGTGAATGTACACAGTATATATGCATGTCAATGTGTGTGGGATTTTTGTATAGAGATTATAAAATGATTCACAGTTTAAATTAGGTTAAAAAAATTATCCTATGGTTTTGCATTGAAAAACCTATAATAAAATATTTTCCATCCTGCTAAGATTTTTCACTTAAAAAAATCACCAAAATTACACACCCTTAAACTTCTAACTATATCTGCATTGCTCAGCTTTAAAATCCTGTGTACCAAAGTCATTTACGTTTCGAGTGCTATGCAGGCAATTTAATGGCAATACGTAGTTTTGAAAACAAATTGCTGCCAATATTTATATAGTACAATCCCATTACTTTGAAAAAAAAAAAGAGGACCAAGTTGGATTTAGCCAGGGGCTCCAGTAAGTAGCCCTGAAGAGTAGTTTATTTTCATCCCGATTTCCGAGATTTGCTGGGCATCACTTAACCAGTTGTCTGGGTCTAGTGTCACAGTATGTGAGGTTGTGATACATGTCAACCACTGTGTGGTGTTAGTCTCTATTCATGAATGCTTATATTGCACAGTAACTGTACAACAGATTTAATTAATACTGTGGCTGAAAGTGGTGCATCAATCATATCTGATTTTATAGCTGCACCACCAGTGTGGCCACTGATAAATTTATAAAGCCAGTACCATAAATTAAAGTGCTTAACAACCATGGTAGGGAGGATAGTGGCAACATTATTTTATGACTGGGTCACAACAGTCATGAGGCAATTCTCTCTGCCCCCAAAATTCTCTTTGCCAGTCTCTTGGTGGTACAATGAATTGACTTCACTGCCCTGGGAAAGCATATCATATCTGTACAACAGTGTAGATCTGTAGAGTTGCCTGCTATCCAGGGGAACTCTACTGCCATCCTACTCCTCAAAATTATTTACCACAACAAATCTGCCTTCACAGACTGTACCTTTTACACTTTTCATAAGAAGACATCAGTATGCTGGAGGTAGGCAGTGGATAGATGCATGAACACACAACATTGTGTACAATACTTGATACCCTCACACGTACACAGCACAAGTACACAGGTGTTATGTTAGATGAGGTTTGTGGATGGTAGCAGCCACCCTCGATGCCAGACATAGCAAAATAAATCTGCAAACAATATGTTGAAAGCCTTCAGAACTTAAATGTGAGGTAGATTAGAGATAGTACTCTTGTTTGTACTGAAAAATGACTATTGTATACTGGTTAATGTGAGCTGTAGTAAGGTTGCCATCTCATGGTTCTCACATGCACATAGACCACTTGACTATCAAAATCTCACTAGTTACACACGTCACTGCAGTTCCAGTATTTTATACTCCAAAAACCAACAATATATTACATACTGGCCTTAACAGTGCACTTAAACCCACATAAGCTAATTAGAATGTGAAAGTGAGACGAGAAAAAGCGAGTGATGTGATCGTGCATGTGGGAGCCCTGGCCAAGCCAACCACCTACTGGTCACCTTGCAGTTAGACACCACACTCTACAGGTCAGAGCACAGGGAGCATAGTTACATACACATTTGGCTAAATATGAGGAACATGTAAAATCAATTGTATATGCAATATATTTATATATATATTACGTGATAACTTTGTATTGAGGACCACACAAAGGAGCACTTCTCCGCTTGGTAGTATCACATGTTATTGGTATACACAGCACCATAAAGTTTCTCTCGATTAGGATTTGCACGAGTTTGTTAGGAACGTAGATGTTACCGACCGATAGAGGTAGAAGAATTACAATGAGGTAGCTCCTGAGGTCTTAATCTACATACAAGAGAATGCATGTCCAGCTGTCTCTGTTCATAAGTGACCAGTCTTGAGGATAGCATTGATAAATTTTGCAAGAGTGACTGGTGCTTGTTGAGGGATACAATATTCTAATCTTGCCAAATACCGGACTCTTCACCACTAAGATTCATCTAGCTTATTATTTTTCACATTACTGTATTATTAAATGTTACTTTATTGATGAAAAGACTGTTTAGTGAAGATGGTTATAGTGATGATGGGAAAGTGAAGATGGTTATAGTGATGATGGGAAAGTGAAGATGGTTATAGTGATGATGGGAAAGTGAAGATGGTTATAGTGATGATGGGAAAGTGAAGATGGTTATAGTGATGATGGGAAAGTGAAGATGTTTATAGTGATGATGGGAAAGTGAAGATGTTTATAGTGATGATGGGAAGTGAAGAGAAGAAGTGGTAAAAGTAGTGGCAATGATGAATGTAGGTGGGATACCAAGCAGTGTTCAGTTAGTGATGATATTCTTGTATAATGAATATGGATAGTAATGATAGTTGTGTAATAAAGATGGTTCCTCTATCACCTGAGTAACACCGGATACCCCATCTAGTTAGTTTATAAACTTGTGAACCAAAAAATTGCTACTACGTATATTATTTTAAGTTTTCTTAAAGCCCCAAGGATTTGACTAAAGGATGTGTTTGTGAGTAGCAGGCATAATATAGTGTGTGGTGCAAGTGCAATCCCCACACACTTGACATCTTGTGTGGGCTCGTTGGGAGACCAAGAGACAAGAAGGCCCTTGTGTGATCCTCGTGACTATTCGCTACACGCATTACTGTATGTAAAATTTGCCACACCTAGAACTAATTTCAGGTCAACTAATAATGAACACGTATTGCAACAATGTACACAAATAAAATTATTCACAAAAAATACACATTTGTATTAGCAGTCCTGAGTTAAGTAATTGTGTGAAAGATTCTGAGATAAGGAAATATCAGAAACTAAATAACCGAGGTAATTTAAGAGTCTTCTGCATTATCTCCTCAGCACCCACTTCCCCCCCCCCCACCCTCATTCACACTCTGACAGACACACTCACTCACTCACCAGTCATGGAGATCTTAAAACCTCTCGTATTAAGTTCGTTCATTTCATCGACTCCATTTCAAGGTGCAGTTCATTTCACGATTATTTTAAACTATTCAATAATTAAAATATATATTCCTAACACTAAATACATTTTACATGCAGTATCAAGTTGTGTAAACAATACTTTATTTGTAGATGAAAAGTGCATAAGAAATTTAAAGCCTTTCATGCCCAGTGACTGTCATAATTCATATCCTCAGCACAGGTAGACCCTCCAGAATGTGGTACATGCTGCCTCCTGTAGGTCTAAACCATGCGACTGGGCTCTACACCTGGCACACCAGAGATCAATGTGAACATTTTAGTGAGCTCACTGGAATGTGTAGACTGACTGAGGACACTGTGCATTATAATAAAAAATAATGCTTTATCAAATCTGATACTATAAACTACTACTGCTTGTGTGTCAAATAATGCCCTATCAGAACACTAGTTGAAAATAATAATAAACAAATATTGTCTCTTAGGGAGGAAGAAAGAGGGTGGGGGTAAAGAGGTAGGGGGGAAAAAAAAAATACCTGTGCTGGAGCACCGTTATCACCAGAGTCGTTGGATGTGTTAGGCCATGTATCCTTGAGCAAAATCAAACTACTGTACATGAAAAGGTCATACGGAGTACACCATAATACTGACCATTCCTCCGAGTACAGACGGCAACTGTAGAAAAGAACATTAATCCTCCGTTTAGTTATTATGAAGGGCTGGATACACGTCATACTTCCTGAGTTTGTTTTGGTTATATAAATCCCTGAAAAACTTGAAACAACTGTTGTATGACATGCAGAGTCTGACATATCACTAATTCTATGTTTTTTTTTTTTAAACCCTCGTACAGTCTTGCTTTTGTTTGCTTCTCTACTATCGGCACTAAAATATTTCCATACATACTATTAAGACTGCTTTGTCCATGAGTGGTATGAAACATGTCTAAGATACTAAGGTTGTTAGCAGTTCCAGATTACTTCATACAAAATATAACTATTTAGTTTTGTACGTTTGACCTGGAAGATTTTCCAACAGAGTCAGGAAACTAACAATGGCTACATAGTGAGGTGTGTAAAGTCTTTAGTGAAACCCTAAGTGACCTAGCAAGGTGCTGTAACAACTAGGATACAAAATATGAGGTAGATGAGGATGGGCTCTTCACCCAACATGGATACCTGAGCATCTTGTTCTTATGCTTCCTGCAATTTTTTTTTTTTTTGTAATGCAGGGCAAGGAGGCAGACTAGCACGTACTATATAAAATCTTTAGTTACATAAGAATCATTCTGCCGAGACAATAAGCAGAATGGTGGGGAGAAGTAGGATCAAGTGTGTCCTCCTTGCCCAGCATCCTGCTACATTGCAGGGTGAGGCCATGAAGGACCTCTCTACTCCCTGGCTCTGACTGCTTGTGTTTTTGCTGGAGGGAAATTGTTGGCATCTATAAAAATAATACTGTACATCTACAAACATCTTGTGCATGCTTGATTTTGTTGAGCATAAGGCACCCACACCAGAAATCATTCATTAGATTATAAACAGAAGAAACATACCATCCCTTTCCTGGACTTGTGATAATCTTCTATAAAATATAACCATTTCAAATAAAACCTACAATTAACAAGGTCCATATGACAACTCCACGCTTAAACTATGGTATTGGGATTATGATATTAGCACACTTTAAGCTACAATAACACCGGCCATGGACCATACGTAACACAGTTTAGCATGCTTCACAAGCACTGCTAAAGACCCACGCGCGAGTCCAACAGTCTGACTATTACTAGCATCAACTATAGCCTACCAACAACACTGGCAAGGCTTGCAAGTACCCAAAACGTTCATCAGCTGTTTACTGCTTGCCCAGCCACATATGGATACCATCTGGCCTATGTGGCCACATTCTGTACACAGAGCACCAAGTAGCACCCAAACTCACTGTCACACTGAGGTTCACATCAACTAGGCCTGTGCACTCTGTCCTGCCACTGAGCCTATAATATGTAGCCAGGCTGTGGTGGTCAGCAGTAGGGCTGGAAGAGGCACACTAGTGCCAGGGGCATCTACGTGGACAGTGAGAAGCCCCTTTCACTGCAGTCCATGAACCATTCGCAGTGTAGGGCAGGAGTCTGGGATAATGGAGATGAACGCCTGCTACTCCGGGTAGGGAGGATAGAGTGCACGGCGGAGCTGGGCTGGTAGGGCCTCGGGCCGTGAAAAGTCCACATTCTGGTGCTCCCGTGCGATATGGCAACGCACCGTGAACCACCGAGTAAATCCACGGTGGCAAATTGGGCAGGGAATTCTTACGCCTTTGTGGAAACAGCGAATATGCGTTCGTAGGTTATTCTGGTGTCGGTATGATCGAGGGCAGTATGGACACTTCACCAGCTCAACTGAAAGTAAGTTACAGTGAAAGTTGGTAAAAAAAGCAATTATATATCACAATGCATAATATTGTATACAATAATTGTTATAAAATAAATATAATAAAATATATTTCTGTACTCTATAAGGAAAAGCTACAGTTAAAAAAAAAGAAAGAAAAAAAGGCAATCAAACTAGGTGAACTAAACTGTCGAGCAACACTACGTACACTACACTAAACTACAAGGGACAGCCGGTGTGGCGATTGGCTATAATCTGGAAGATGCAGGGGCAGTGGCATCCAATTTCCTATTGTTTGGAATGTTAAGTCTGTGAACAGTCCGCAGGTGTAAGTTTCTGCTGAAGTTGTGTTTGAAGGTTGATCCACAGAGGGCACAGGTGAACACACGGCGGCGTTGCGCATGGTCAGTTCTGATGTGGCGGGCCAGAGAGCTCTGCACCGAGTACGACGCCCCACACACTCCACACAAGTGCCGCCCACGCGCGTGCTCCAACCAGTGGGTACGCAGCTCTGCCAGAGAGGCGTGCCCCCGCCCACAGGTGGAACACACCCACCCTCCAGGGGGCATGGGAAGCTCATCATTTGACTCGAGCAAGGACGATGGAGCCCCCCCTCCTGGGTCTCCCTCGCCCCACACCAGACACTCTGCAAGAAATAACACCACCAGTAAGCAGCCACCTGAAGGCTAGTGCATCAAGATGCAGCCCTCCATCCACATAACCTACTACCCACACCATCCACTTGCATAGTGGTGAGGTTAGCAGGCATGAGGGCAGGGGCCTGAGGTTAGACTGAAGCCTGAGAACCCTGACCTGACTCGCACAGGTCACTCTTACTGTGGTGTTCTTTCTCGCCGAGATCATGCAATGAGCCAACCCATGCAATATATGAGCAGCAACCTTCTAGTCACTAGTGACCCACTACCCCCACATGCACACTTCACACTAATCAATGAAAACTATAATATTGGAAAATACATAGAATTGAAAAGTAAAAGTAGCAAGTTGCACGTTTGGTTTAAGAAAAGGAACGAGAAAGCATAGGAAGACAAGCTTTCATTTCACTAGAGAACCAATTCATTACTTCATCCTTTAAAATTAGAAAAAATGTAGTCAACCTAAATGGATTCACAATATGCACTACAGATATAGTGCAAGAGTTGATCTTGCATGCACAGTTGAAAATTCATTTGATTCGAGCAATAACTAGAGCAAAATGCAGTATATAAAATTACAAACACATGCAGTATGTATGTGTGTGTTTTATTTAAATATATATACTGTATATATGTGTATGTGTATGTGTATATGTGTGTGTGTGTGAATCACGAAAATAAACACGTGATTAAAAATGTGACAGTGTCAGACCACGGAGGAAAATTGAAACAGGAATTTCCCCCCCCCCCCAGATGGGGGCCTGGTAGCCTGGTGGATAGCGCGCAGGACTCTTAATTCTGTGGCGTGGGTTTGATTCCCGCATCAGGCAGAAACAAATGGGCAAAGTTTCTTTCACCCTGAATGCCCCTGTTACCTAGCAGTAAATAGGTACCTGGGAGTTAGTCAGCTGTCACGGGCTGCTTCCTGGGGTGTTGTGTGTGTGTGTGTGTGTGTGTGTGTGTGTGTGTGTGTGTGTGTGTGTGTGTGTGTGTGTGTGTGGTGTAAAAAAAAAAAAAAAAAAAAAAAAAAAAAGTCAACAGTTGATTGACAGTTGAGAGGTGGCCGAAAGAGCAGAGCTCAACCCCCGCAAAACACAACTAAGTGAATACACACACTGTACACACTGCATATAATCTGATACAGTACGCAGGATCAACATCCACTTAACTAATAACCTTTACTGTACATTATTCTAGACAGGAAAGATGTAAGAAAAGACGTCTGTTTCAACTTGGATAAGGTGTACATGTTGGGCAGCACTAAAATCCTAAGCCACTGCACCAACCTCACTGACTGCTTTACTAGCATATCAAAAGAGCCCCCTACCTGTAGAGGTGTTTCCCGAGGATGAGGTGGACAGGTTACGCGGGATGGAGGAAGTATTGGTGATTTCAGAGGTACCATTATCACGGCCACCATTACCAACTGCATACTCTTCCTCTTCCTCGGCCACATCCCCCTCTGGCGTGAGCAACTCAGTCTTGCTGATGATGAAGTCTGGTGAATGAAGAGAAGGCAACGAACCAATTTAGAAAAAGTTTTCATACTGTGATCTGATCTTAAAAGGCAATTTATTCAGTACGTGTATATGTCTGAGGATATTTGACAATAATGGTAGGCCTTAATAATACAGTACTGTATGTTGAAATTACTTAGTATAGCAACAAATTTTTGGTTTTCTGTATCAGGCTCCTGGAAGCTTTGTTTCTATAGCAATAATTGTGTGCACATAACAGTTAAAAACATTAAAAATTTTCCTTTACCTGACAAGCATAATATAAAACATTGCTTTTAATCATTAAGGTAAGATATCTTGCTAGCTATTAAAAAAGTCAGATTAAAATTTTCAGGAGGTATGATTGTTACCATATTTCCTCTCCAATGAGGAAATATGACAGCACATTTAGATCTATATTACTGTCAATAGGTAGGCGTTCCTTCATGCTGCTTATTACCAAATGCATATTCTATCGTACAGTATATATGTAATTATTACATGCAAACTAGAGAAAGTACACAACTGCGAACTTCTCTCTCTCCTGCCCTCTTCCCCAAATCTTCCCACCCCCTCTCTTATCGTTCTTCTACTCTTTCCACAGGGCGCCCTGAGAGCTTGCGCTGGCCTCCTTCACCAGTTGATGGCCATGACTGCGCTGTCAGCTGGGTGGACAGCGCTTCGGATTCGTAGTCCTGAGGTTCCGGGTTTGATCCCCGGTGGAGGCGGAGACAAATGGGCAAAATGTTTCTTTCACCCTAATGCCCCTGTTACCTAGCAGTAAATAGGTACCTGGGAGTTAGACAGCTGCTACGGGCTGCTTCCTGGGGCGAATAACGAAAGGAGGCCTGGTCAAGGACTGGGCTGCGGGGACGCTAAGCCCAGAAATTATCTTAAGATAAATAACCTCAAGATAACCTCCCCCTCACCATCTCTCCCCTTTCCTTCCCTCACTTAGCTTTTTCCCCCAACATCTCTCCTCTCTCCACTCTCTCTGCCGCTCTCCCATTCTCCCCACCCTCTCCTCCCCTCCCCTCTCACTCCCTCTTCCTACGTTGTTCTCAAAAAGTTTAATCTATAATACGAAGTACTGAAAAAGTGTTTAACTCTACAGAAAACAACTATTTCAGACTCCATGAAAATCACAAGGAGATGCACCATAGGTGCTGATATTTTAAAAGAATGTGGCACAGACTAAACCCAACTGGCTTATGACACTCCTATACCCTCTATAATTCATCTTGCCCTACTCAAAAAACATCTCAAACCCCTACTCAAATCTCTTAATATGTTAGATATTAAGTCACTGCACATTCTCTCATGTGTATTATACATATATAAAACGCTAAACTATAATGCCAATCCTGATCTTAAAAGCTTCATAGAAGGTTGTAACAGAACCCATGAGCACCACACCAGAAATAAATACAGTTTTGATATTCCTAGAGTACGTCTTAATCAAACTAGAAATGCTCTGCAAATCAAGGGGCCCAGAATGTGGAATGACCTTCCCAACCATGTTAAAGACTGTACCTCTCTCAACCAGTTTAAGATTAAAACTAAACACTACCTAATAAATTCCCTGTAATCTACCTCACTCCTCTATTGTCAACCCATGTCTGTTATTTTCTTTTTTTTTTCTTTTTTTTAATCAACACTGTTTGTCAACCTATTGTATTTGTGCTGCTTTTTCAGTCATGTTCCCCCTTTTTTTTTATCTTTATTTGTATTTGTTCTCAACATCTTTTATTCTTTATGCTCAATTAGTATTAAGTTCTAGATATTAATGTTTTTTCTTGCCCGAAACGCATTGCGTAATAGTGGCTTTAGGCATTGTATGTACTAGCTCTATCTATATATCAATCCATTAATGTAACATCACTTGTATGTATATCCCTTACCTGAATAAACATCTGAATCTGAATCTGAATCTGATCTTGCAAAGTTGGACAGGCTAGCCCTACGCATCTGGCCTCCAACTTCGGGCAGGCGTTCTATTTTATTGACACTAGTATACTGTAGATTCAATACAGTAATCTTTCACTAATACTATACAGGAAAGTTGATGCACAAACCTTCTGAGGGGGAGAGACTATCCTTGTCTTTGGGACTAATAGATTTCTCATCATCATTATGTTGTTCTGATTCTTGGTTACTGCTGTCCCTCTCGCCTCCCTCCTGGTGCTTCTCACTTTCTCGTTCACACTCGACGTTCCGTTCCAGTTCCCTTTTGCATTCCCTTTCTCTTTCCCATTCTCTCTCTCTTTCTCGTTCTCTCTCTCGTTCCCATTCTCTCTCTCGTTCACGTTCCTTTTCTCGTTCGCGTTCCTTTTCTCGTTCACGTTCCTTTTCTCGTTCGCGTTCCCTTTCTCGTTCCCGTTCTCGTTCCCGTTCCCTTTCTCGTTCTTGCTCTTGTTCAGACAGTCTCTGATTTTCTCTTTCCCGTTCCCTCTCTAGTTCTCTCTCTCTCTCACGTTCTCGCTCTCTCTCTCGTTCTAGGTCGTGGTCAGAGGCACCTCTAGGGGGCCAGACAGGAAGGGAACGATCCTTTACATCATGGTGATCATAATGGGCAGGTGGTGGCAGTTTGTGAGGATTCCGTTCCAGGATCTTCTTAGAGTCGTGGAGGAGTGGTAACGTGAATGGCAGCCCAAATGACGGAACCCTCCTGAAAGAAATGATCACAAGCTATCACTCGGTGACAAAGCAGGTTAGATATGGTACTTCTCTTTGCAAGGTTAATTAGGAAGTTGCAATTACTGGAATTTTTTGGGGAAAGTATGAGTTATATACTTAAATGATTAGTTCACCAATTTAACATGTCTTTTACCTCTGACTACTGGCAATGTATATACAGATTATGATTCATTACTGTGTAATTTCCTGGAGTAATATTTCAATATAGTTGAGGTATTTCAATCAGCTATATTCTACTTAACAAAACAGAGAAGTATCGAATTACTTACCCAAGCTGCTGAATCATCTTTGTGTCTGGTGCAGGTGACTGTGGAGAGGTTCGTGGTGGTAGCAGACTGGAGCCTGCTGTGGGGTCATACTGTGGGTGAGGAGATCGAGGTCTCACCAACCCACCAGGAAAGAAGGGTGGAGCTGATAGGGCTGGACCTGGGCTTTTAGAGGAAGTGCGGGACATGAGAGAAGATGAGTAGAGAAATGATCGTGCAGGTGTTAGCGAGGCAGAAGTGGGAAGAGAAGGCCCTGATGGGGATGCAGGCCGACGAGAGTATCCTCCAGGTACCATGTTAAAGTTTGACAAGTCCCGCAAGTCCCTGATATCTGGTCGTAGGTCCCTGGTGGTGGGTGGTCGCTGCTCTCGTGCCTCCTGCCCAAGGTTTAGGGCTGTTTCTACTGGAGAGGGCTTGGGTTTCTTGGCAGGTGGGGGTGTGGGCGAGGTCCTGCTGCCTTCACGAAGACGCTCCTTACCTCCACCACCATCATCTTCCTCCTTACTTGCTACATCTGCTAGACCTTTTATCTGTAAGAAAAACTTGTAACTGTGACACATGCTCCACATGCAAGGTACATGTCTAATGGATATAGAGTATGGTATTATATGTCCTGCACTGTAACAACATTGTACTCACACTTGTCTATCTCTATTTATTTAATAAATCTTCAAATCTTCATCCACTTCTATTTATGAGAGAAAATATATTGTACAACCTGTGCTGTCATTGTACAGAATATTGTACACTTTTGTGAGTGTTTTAATGAGTAAGGAGGATAGGAATTATAAATGCTTGAAACTACAGTACTGTACTTTACAACTACATAAATTGTTTTGATCTCATCTTTTTTTTCAGACTTGATCCCTCAATTGCCCATTGAGCCAGGGACACACAATGTTCATAAAAACCTTACCTTCAGCGTCTCGGCAGTCTTGAGTAGTGAGGAGAGCTGGTCCTGCTCGATGTTGACCTCTCCCCGATACATGTAATCGACGAGCGCCCGCAGGTCAGCATAACGGGTGCCATCCATGATGATGACCGGCTGTTGCCCCTCTGGGGATGCCTGCAAGATGCGCTCAAAGTGGGCCGAGGACGCCAGCAACACCAGCTTATGCACCCGAAGGACATGGCCTGTGAACAAGAGCCATTACTGAGTTAAGAGTGCAAGCATGTCTAGGGTCTCGGCATCCTTGCTGTACCGGGCAGCATCCTAGATACTACTGCACGGCATCAGACGACTGCCACGTATGGGACAACTATATATATAAATATATACAGTATTATATTATATATTAAATAATGAGTAGTAGCATAGTGTTGTATACTAAAGCTTGTAAAATTTGAGACGAATGTATTTGTATAGGAGCACACTCCTCGTTAATCATATTTGACTTTTGTGGGCAATATATTATTACCACAACTTTATTAACAGATCTTCCATCATACTTTATAAATAAATGTAGGAATAAAGATGCAGTACTTATTTTAAAGCTTTTACATTCATACAACTGATTTTAGTGCTCTTACAAAACAAAACAGCTGAAATATTTTTGGTAAGTTGTGCACATTTGTGTGTATGTGTCTAGTGGGTGTTGGATTGGAGGTGATGTTGGAGTGGGGTTGGGAGGTGAGGATGAGGTGTGGTGGGGGGGGGGGGGGGCGAGAGGGGGGGAGGGGGTGGGGGGGAGATGATGTACTCGCCTAGTTGAGCTTTGGCTCTTTGGTCCCATTTCTCAAATGTCAATATTGAGGAAGTGTTGGGTGGTAATGTTGAGGAAGGATTCTGGGAGGCAGAAGGGAGGAGTAAGTTAAAGCTGCCATTTCATTGGACTGCCCATCAAGTACTACCACCTAGTGGTCCCATCTATACATTTACTTGCACGAAGCATCTTGTATCAAATTAATGGGATAAGGACTAAAGAGAAATATGTGAAGAAAAGGAATAACAAGAAAATTGGAGAAGTCGAGGAAGAGGGAGGGAAGCAAAGGAATGGGACTGGGGGGAGAGTCAAGGACTAGGGGAAAAGCTGAGAAGTGGGGGGGGGGGGCTTATAACGAAGTTGTGGAAAGACGAAGTGTGGGGAAGGGATGGATAGTGGAGCTGCAGAATGGTTGCTTACCTTCACAGAAGATGGAGACGTCTGCATACTGCTGTGAGGTGAGGACTGCTTCCAGTACCCCCAACAGGTTATGTTGGTGGTTGTTCCAGCGCAGACAGTAGTGCTGCTGAGCCCCGTAACTGCTGCTCATCCCGGACCCGGCCAAGCCTGAAACACACCAGAGACAAGCCCACTTTAGTTTGTATGTTACCACGGCTGACCCTTGAATCATTCCAGGTCAACCTTAATTCACTGTAAACACTAATATGTATCAAAACATCACCTCACCAGCATAATAGCAACATTAATTTCAGTCACAACACACATTACATCTTGAGATATACTAGTGGCACCTTAATACAGCCAACACCCGGGCCCTTGTACACCAAGTACTATAGTCAGATACTGGATTGTTTCAAGCGTAGGTTAGACATATATGAATGAGTTTGAGTGACTATAAATGAAAGTGGCCAATAAGCCTTTTATAGGTGCCTTTATTATGTTCTTACCAAACACTATTCAGCTTAGGTATTCAAAATAGCCCTTAACACAACATGTAAGGTCATAACATTAGATGTACCAAAAAATCACAACTTGTGATGGTCAATACATGACATGGGATAGGAACACACTCAACCGTAACAACATGTTTGATACAATGTTTCGAGTCATTATAAACATAATTTAAGAGGCTAAAGGTCACAAGAGTTTCCGGTTCTAGTGCTGCCTTGTTGCTGTACAGTGAGGAAATGTCTGGTACTAAGAGTCCCTTGGGAGGCCGACTTACATCTGTGGGGCTGGAGGAAGAATTTGACATCTCACTACAATGAGATGTGTGTGTATATTTACAATCTAACTGTACCTGTTAAATTATCATGTGTATATTATATACACTGTATATGTATATATTATATATATATATATATATATATATATATGTGTGTGTGTGTGTGTGTGTGTGCTTCAACTGCTTCTTTCCACAGTGCAGGCCATGCAATCCATATTCGTTAGCATCTGCCTCGCCGCAAATACACCTATGAACAGTGTGGATAGGGGCAGCAAGACAGAGAGCGAATGCAATACGGAGCTCCTGCGGATCAAGACGTGTGCCTGTCGCAGACATAGGGACTGCCAAAAGGACGTCCCCTGCATGGGGAGTCTGCACAGCTGTGAGGCGTGCACGATCACTAGGGGTTGTTGCTGCCTCCAGCAAAGCTGTGGCTTCTTTGTCTACAATGGGGCTGTCCCAACTGGATTGTTTCTTGGCTTTTGGCATGGCTGGTCTGAGTGCTGGGTCTGCCATGGCACCCCATTTCGTGTCTCATTCCGTGTAGTGGGGGTCCTGTATCCCCGCTACATCACTCAGGGTGTCAGGTAGAATTTCCTTAACCAGGTCATCTGATGCTGGGGAGGAAGACAGGAAGGCTGGGACAGCAATTTGGGTGGCGGTGCGGACACCCAAGCCACCGAGCCTAACAGGAAGAGTGGCTTGTTTCCACTGGCATTCGTTGAGGGAGAGTTTAACAACTTTTTCCAGCATGGTCTTCAGTAAGAAGTCATACTCCTCAAGCTTTCGGTTGTCGTAAGATGGGGCGCACCTCGGAAAGTAGGTTAGCTTCGGAAGGGATAGGCATTTGGTGACGAGATAAAAAGCATCGTGGCCATCGATGTCACCTATTCTGTCTTCCATCCTCCTAAGGTCTGCGATTTTCTTGTCAAGGATCTCCTCAATGGCGTTAGACCCGAAGGGGGCTCCTAGGAGGGTGCTGTTCTCGGCCCTAATGATATGGGCTCCAGGCAAGGCAGACCTTATTCTAGCTACGATGTCTGGGTTGGAGGAGACTACTTCACACTTGGAAGGGTTCAGGACGAGACCCAGGCTTACTTCTTGCTCCCTTATTTTCCTGATATCTGCCAAGAGGTGGTGATATGGGCTCCAGGCAAGGCAGACCTTATTCTAGCTACGATGTCTGGGTTGGAGGAGACTACTTCACACTTGGAAGGGTTCAGGACGAGACCCAGGCTTACTTCTTGCTCCCTTATTTTCCTGATATTTGCCAAGAGGTGGTCTACGGTGCCAGCTATAGTGCCATCATCCAAAAACCAGATGTTGAACTCGCTGGACAAGCTTTCGGCGATTTCTTTTAAGACTAAGCAGAAAAGAAGGGGAGCAAGAGGATCACCTTGCTGAACACCTTCACATGATCCGATTTCATGTTCACCAAAGAGCAGTTTTGACTCACCATTGTAGCACGATAGTATAAACGGGTAGAGGGGCCGGAAATGGCGATGTACGGCACAAAGTAGTGCATCTCTTCTGACCATGTTGAAGGCAATCTTAAAGTCCAGTTTGAGCAGGGCCTTTTCATCAGAAATGTTGGTGATGTATGCTCGTGCTGCATGGGCAGCCGCCTCACAGCCTTGGGGGATTCCAAATCCTAGCTGGATTGGTTTCAGCAATTCAACCGCTAGCTGGCTAACAACCCTCGTAGCAGCCTTGGCAATCAGGCGTCGGAGTGTGTTCCCAACAGCGATTGGCCTGATTCCTTCGTCCTTTTTGAGAGTACAGAGGGAGGCACCAAAAAAAGAGAGGCCTGATGACCTCAGGTATCTCACCAGCCAGGCACATGTTGACGAACCTTGTGAGTTCCATAAGAAGATCTTGTGCAGCATCACCAACCGCAGGATTTAACATTTGCTTGATGTGTTGAGGTTTTAACCCTGTAAAGCCGCCTGCTGACCCAGGTGGAAAAGAAAGGGCTGCTTTGTAGACCTCAGATTCACCAACGGTTAATGGGTCTGAAATGGTGTCGCCTTGAGGGGCTCTGGTTGGTGCTTGCTTTGCAGGGCCCGTGCTGTGGCCGAGTTTCGAGGAGCAATTTTCATCACTGGTGAGGACTCTAATAGCACTTGCGGTATTAAGCAACTGGGTGTGGAGCCAGCAACTGGGTGTGGAGCCAGCAACTGGGTGTGGAGCCAGCAACTGGGTGTGGAGGCCGGTGGGGCGAGGGTCAGCACAGGTAGTGAGGTGCGGGAAGGGGGGATGGGGGTCGGTTGGGGGGGGGGGAGGCGTAGTATCGAGTGGGCTATACACATGACACACAATATACATTCATATATATGTACACCAGGGTATGTATGACACTGAAAATATGGGGTTGGCACTTTGTTATATGTATGACACTATAAACTGGGATTGACACTGGTGTGTATGGCACTGAGTATCGGAGTTGGCACTTTGAGATGTATATCACTATGGCACTATATATACATGGTATTCACTTTGTATGTCGGGGCCGCAAAATATACACTAAACATACAGAAATTGTTCACTACCATTCACTGAGCCCACGAGGGAAGTGGTTGGGTGGTGAGGGGAGTTTGAAATGCGGCCACTACCAGCCTCTTCCGCCTGACCGGTGAGCGGGTGTTCTTAAGTGTGACGCCTTACTTTTAAGGTTCACTTTCCCTTACGCGCCTCCTTCCGTCCCCGCCCCGGCCGTTAAGGTGGTAGGCCTCCCTCACTGGCACTGTTGCTGGCGAGTTCAAGCTTGGCAAGCCGGAGAAAATTGTAAAATACCTTTGACTGGGACGATGGAGGGACTTCAAACGCTGAAGATGTCTTCTAAAGATGTTCACTTATGTCCTGACCGACGCCTCACCTGCTTGACCCTCACTGTTTTGTGATAAAGTATGAAGGTAGCCCGGAGCTCCACCGTCCATCTGGTCACCACTTGGTCCGGGAGACATCTCCCGTCACGCAGGGTGCAGTCGCGCCTCCACAGATCTCCAGTATCAGCTCTTGATACTGGTAATGGCTCAAAAGGGCCACCACTTACGGGCTATTCATGCCCGTGCCACCTCTTGGGTGGCTTAATCTTCATCAATCAATCAATCTTCAGTTAGACAATTTGTGAGGGCTCAAAAGGGCCACCACTTACGAGCTACTCATGCCCGTGCCACCTTTTGGGTGGCTTCATGTTCATCTTAACACATTCACGTGGGAGACATCTCCCGTCATGCAGGGTGCATTCGCACCTCCACAGATCTCCAGTATCAGCTCTTGATACTGGTAATGGCTTAAAAGGGCCACCACTTACGGGCTATTCATGCCCGTGCCACCTTTTGAGTGGCTTAATCTTTATCAATCAATCATTCAGTTAGACCACCATTTGGTCATCATTTGGTCCGGGAGACATCTCCCGTCACGCAGGGTGCAGTTGCGCCTCCACAGATCTCCAGTATCATCTTTTGATACTGGTAATGGCTCAAAAGGGCCACCACTTACGGGCTATTCATGCCCGTGCCACCTCTTGGGTGGCTTAATCTCCATCAATCAATCAGTTCTATTCACGGGAGACATCTCCCGTCACGCAGGATGCAGTCGCACCTCCACAGATCTCCAGTATCAGCTCTTGATACTGGTAATGGCTCAAAAGGGCCACCACTTACAGGCTATTCATGCCCGTGCCACCTCTTGGGTGGCTTCATCTTCATCAATCAATCAATCAATCAATCGGAGCTCCACAGTGCGTCCGGTCTCCACGGTACCCCGTGGATATATATATTATATGTATATATATTATATATATATGTGTGTATATCACGAAAATAAACACGTGATTAAGAATGTGACTGTCAGACCACGGAGGAAAATGAAACAGGAATTTCCTTAAGTACTTTCGTATATTAAATACATCTTCAGAAGGATTCCTTCTGAAGATTAATATACGAAAGTACTTAAGGAAATTCCTGTTTCATTTTCCTCCGTGGTCTGACATTGTCACATTATATATATATGTATATATATTAAAAATTCAGGCTTGTTCGCATGTATATATATTATATAATTATATATATATATATATATATATATATATATATATATATATATATATATATATATATATATATATATATATATATATGTATTATATAATTATATTAGCTATTATATATATATTATAAAGTATAATATATTATATTGGCTATATAAATTAGCTAATAAAACGAAGTCTTAATCCACATTCGACTTGTATAATAAAATGAACATGCGGTAACATTCAAGAGAGAAAACAGACATTTTATCTCGGAATGTAAACACAATTCGACGGATGAGAGGCTATAGACCTCAAAATGCCTCGTCCTACATTCACAAGCCAATAGTC